AGAAGTGGAAGGCAGAAGTCACTTGCTGGGGATCTTACGGAAAAGAACATGATCTTGTGAAGTCCCATGGATGCAAATGACAACATTTTCCTATGTTAAATTAGACCCTATGCAAAGTTATCTTTTGGTCTTTGATTAGGTGTTGACTTGAGAAACATGGCTTGCACTTCTAAAGGACTGAAACTTCTTATATTAGCACCATAATTTCATTTTGTATTTTTAGAAAATGCATCTTTTTTCTGGCATTTGAGGGCTGTTCAGCAGAAGGCTTTCATGCAACCTTGTTTTTTGTAGCTGGAAAAAGGTCAAAATATGCTATATGAAGCAGGCAACGTGATTCTGTGCATCTAGGTCCCTTGCAACATAGGCAAAAAGTTGCTGGTTTTGCTTTAGACACAGCTGACCTAATCTCTGCATTGTTATGTCTCTTGTATGTGCACAGCGTGATCTAGAAAGGGAGTTATAATGGAGACAATCCCACTGCAAGGCTGATAGTGAAAGCTGTGCACAAAAGAACAGTATACGGCCATGTACAGCAGAGATACATTGTGTTTCTATTATTTGTTGTACTTCTCAACGTGTTCAAATGATTTCCAGTTGATGAGTTCTGTTAGTATAGAATTAAAGTAGGATTTTAAATTTCGTTTAAAGGCCTCAAGATAACCTGGAAGTAAAAACCTCTACATTTTAGAGCTGAAGTTGAAAAAAGAATCACTACATAAGTGAACAAGAGAAATTGCTGCGAAGGATCAGACCAGTTCAGTTTAGTTCAAAGCTCCATTAGTGGTGGTGTCAAGTATCAGAAGCTTCAGAGGAAAAGACAATAGGACTAGTTCAGGTTAGCTGGTGCACAAGGAATCTGTCTGTTCATTGTATTTCAGGAACACTAGCCCTAACCCATATTTCAGGAAATTTGAGGACCTTTAGCTCTTACTCCATCCAAAAATCTCTTTGCTTTAACTTAGCATTCCACTGAAAGTTACTTGCCTCCCATATAAGACATTCAGGTCACCTGCCAAGAACTCTAACTTTGTGCTCAAGTTTTTCAAGCATATAAGAAAATTGTCCTCATTTCTGAGGCTGTCACTGCCCAGCTTAACACCTTACACACACAAGGCTTCCTTAACCAGAACAGAGATGCTGTGCTTTGCAACCTTGTGGTACTTCAGCCAGCTGGCACAGCCAAGCACCCACCACAGAGGCCGAGTCCCCCTTTACTCACTTTAAAACCCTGCCCTCATATAGAGTGCCTTTAAGTACCTTTCCACCTCTCTTCATCTGTCTCCACAGGTCCAGAAGACAATTTGTTCCATTACTCAATGGAAAACTATCGGGGGACAGCTAGCTTTTCTGCAGCTAAGAGCAACATGAGGTGAGCAACCTCTCACTCTCCCCTTGCCCCAGTCACACAGGATTGAGTGCAGCAATAGCTCAAATGTGACCTTGTGCACCCATAACCTGCTAAATTGGGTCCCCTGGACTCGAGATTACCATCTTTCTCTATCTTACCTGCTTTGAGGTCTGTTCTTAGGCTGCCACAGCAGCCGTGACATCAGGACACTTAGGCATATCTGAGCTGGCGCTCAGCTTGGCAAGTCAGGTTCAACTCGCAATAAACTGCAGTTAGGAATTCAATATACACAGTCCAGCCAAGAAGCTTCATAAATACATAATTATGTTCCAGGCTTTGTTTGAAATGATGGAAACTACACCCAGTTGCCACAACTGAACATGAGGTCACAGATTTTGAAGCCTAATTCTGTGCTAATTTAAAAAACAAACGGACCTCTTGCCCTTTGTTGTAAACCTGGTCACAAACATAGTTATCCACAGTAATAGTGTTAAACAAAATGTTTTATAAACAAAATACTTTTATTAGACTAGTACATGGGTTATTTTAAATCAAGAATTAAAATACAGTTGGTATTAAACTATTGTTTCAGTTCATTTCACTAAAGTTGAAGTTACTATAGATTAACCTCAGGAGGTAATACTTATCTGAAAAAAAATAGGTTTTTTTAAAAAATATAGACGGAATTTATTTCCTCTTTTTATTTAGTGTGTTTTGGCAATATAATTTAAACTAGACAACTTAGCTAACGGAGGAAAACACTAAGCAAAACCAGAACTTAATTGGAACTGCAGATAGACTGTTTTATTGATCTATTCCTGCTTCTGATGTGAAAATTACCTGATCACTACATTTATGTTTCCACTTCATTAAATAGAATTATTTTTCATTAGGCTTTCTGTAAGAGCTCCATCCAAGAAAAACATTTTGAGTACTCAGAGATACTCTAGATACCTAATCCAGTTTACTGGGTAATTGCTTCTAAGAAGACACCTAGATAGAGAAATCCCTTCTGCTGTATAAAGCGTTCTAACAGTGTTGTCCTATCTGGCCACTGGTAGTCACATCCAGCCTGGTACAGAACACAATGGAAAAAATATACTTGGGAGTGGCCTCTACAGACCACACTGACATCTGAGTGTGTGGTTTTCAACAGATTAATAGATTTAGAATACGACTGACTATGTGCAAAACAAAGAGCAGTCTCTTCTAAAACAAGAGACCCTTCACACAGTGAGCAGGCTCAGCGTTCCACTTCAGGTGACGCAGTGGCAAGAGAATGTGAGCCTCAACTTATATCAAAAAATTATAACTTGGCATATATATATATATCTTCTAAGTCCACAGAGCTGTGAATTATTACTGTTTGTTAGTTTAAACCTCAGCTGTATCAGAAACCTCATTCAGGCCCAAATTCAATGATCCTGATGCTGTGCAAACAATGGAGAGTTCTACTGCAGCTCCTTTGGGATGCTGTTGTAAGCAAAGTTGTTGTTTTTGTATCAGGCACTATGGTTAAAACGGATTACTTCAAATGCATTATTTTTTCAGGGATCCATATAATCTTTTGGTTACGTTTCTATTTTTACACAATACTCCTCACAGGCTCAATTATATTTATTTTTCTCTCAGCCCTTGGTTATAAGCAGTGTTATTATCAACATTTTGCTTAAAAACAATTGCTGTTTCCATGCTTTCCCAAATGCAAAATAAAATCTTAACTTAGGTTTCTTACTTCAGTGACAAAGGTGTGTCAAGCCAGTCCCACTGACTTGTGTCCCATGTGGCAACTTACCATAGCACTGTAACTGGAGCATTTTTAGCCTACGCCCATTTCCTCAAAGGTACAGGTGGGGCCTGCCCCTGTTCTCTTCATTGATCCCGATGTCTCAAAGGTCTTGGCTAGGTTAACATGAAGAACCTGTTACCTTTACCTTTTTGAAGGACAATGTGATGAAAGGGGTTCCAACTTGAATATTTTCTTTTTTTTTACCCCCTCAACATAGGAGCAGCGTATTTTTATGGAACCTAAACTCTTTGCCAAATAATTTAACCAAGATTAGTAACAACCTCCTCTAAAATGAATCTGTAATCCTATGCAAGACTTAACTACATTAACTTAAATTCACCTTTCTTGTACATAGGATCTCTTCTGCACACCCACTTCCTGGTAGGTTTCTGTACTTTTTGCTGATCTTTTATTGCTGCCCATATGCCAGGCACTCTTCTGCCAGCACCTCAATATCCCTGTTCTGAAAAGATTTGTCCTGGATTTATTATTCTAAAATATAAAATCTGCTTGCTCCTATATGGTCAGATATTCAGCCCAATGTATACATAGAAAATAGGTTTTGAAAAACACAGGTTTACCAACATGTGTTTACATTTCCATTTAATATATGAATATTTTCCCATAATAAACTAAGAATATGAAGTACAGAAAAAATAAATTATTAAGATAATGATCTGGGAAAGAGAAATCTTAAGTGTTTTAGAGGATCATCTCCTGCATCCAGTGGAAACAGCACATAAACATTATAAAGTTGTACACACTACTGTAACACAGATGACATAATTTTCTGGAAGAGAGTCATGAAAGCCATTTACAAACAACTAGCTCATATTTTCTCCAGAGCAGATCACATTAAATACATGTAGAAACTGGAGTAAGGAGGTATTGTATAGCAGTGCCATTAAAACAGTCAAAAAAAGCACTGATCCTGCAGTTGAAACTGAGTAGTCAAACACCTGAGAAAGACCAAAACCAAGAACAGTTTCTCCAAATAGCCTGATCAAAAATCAGTCTTAAAATCAGACAGAACAATATTAGCTTTTGAAGAATTTGACAGTACAGTAAGACGACCATTGAAAAGATCCCTGTTTTATCAATTATATTCCAACAAAAATCATAATCTGAATTAAAAGTATACTGCCTATCTGCATAAGCACCAATATAATAGAAAGTAAAAACTTATCCATCTAGTCCCTCTCATAAATGGTCCCCTATACAAATGCAGATTTTAATGTACATTTAAGTACTTTTGGCAAGAGGTACGTATTCCATAAAAGAAAAGTCACTGCAAAGTCGGAAAAAAATTCTAAAACTTGAAAAAAGATCAAAGGTAGAGCAGTTTCTAATGCTCTGATACATAATAATTCTGTCAATAAATTCTGGTTTTAGAAAAAGCAAAATTCACTCCAGTTCCTGAGATAAACTGCAGATTAATTGTGAAGATTTACCAGATTGTACCACGCTCTTTCTCACCTTTTACACACTGCAAACAAGGTCTGAACTGAAGCTTCTGCTAAACTCACAAGTCAGCAAAGCATGTGAAAGATCAAAACAGTCAAATTTTCTTTTCCACTATGAAAACAAAAGACTGGCAACTTAGGTCAGAGACAGATAAGACTTTAGCCACAGTCTGTCAAAATAATTTCCAGATAGAGGCAGTTGTTTTAAATTAACTGCACTTGCATCTTTTAAACCACTCTAATTCTTTGTTTCTATCCTGTTTTTACTGACAACTGTGCTCGTACTCATCCATTTGCTGTTTAAGAAAGTGTGAGTTCAAAATCCTAGGGTCTATTTTTTTAAAAGAGCGTGAGTCACCTAACAGCTCAGCATGTCTCTGGTTGTATGCTGGAACCATCAATGTGCTTCGTTATTACTAGCCATATGCTCAGTTCCTAATTTAGCATTAATTTTGTGCTCCATCTTCTGTAAAACTGCTGGAAGATCCAGAACAGAAGAAATAATATAATGAGGTACTGGGGAGGTATCTACCGGGGTAGTCATTGCTTTATTTAACCAGACAGTTGCTTTCAAGCCAGCATTCAGGCCTCCTTGTATATCTGTATCTAGAGAATCACCAACCATCACACACTCGGCAGGCTGCACCCCCAGGAGATCGCAACAGTAATGAAAGATGGATGGCGCCGGTTTCTCCTCCTTCTGCTCTCCTCCCACCACGATGGCATCGAAGTAGGGCTGACAGGCGCACGCCTCGATCTTCTCCCGCTGCGTCTGCTTGTCGCCGTTGGTGAGGAGCAGCAGGCGGACCCCTTTCCGCAGCTCGGTCAGCATGCCCCGCGTGTCCTCGGCCAGGGTCAGGTGCTGAAGCCGGGTGGTTTTCCACAAGAAATAGCACTCGGCGGCCAGGTTTCGGTTCACCTCCCCCCCGATTGTCTCTTGGATCGCTTCCTCCCAGTGAGAGATCCGCAGGTCGGTGATGCACATCTTGGCGGGGTCGTGGCACTCCTTCAGGAGCTTGGCCTGGACCTTGTCGCAAATGACGCGGGCTTCTCCCTCCCCGTAGTGGTGCTTTGATTGCAGAGCATTGATCACCTTGGGCGGACAAGAGGGCCCCTGT